ACAGAGAAAATCTCCCCAAAGGTAGAACCAAGAAATGAAGCGGTAGAAATTAAGGAAGAAAATTATGAGGCCCCGTCCAAAATATCCAATAATAGAATCCAATAATTCTATCTGAATAATAGAAATTTCTCAAAAACACATCACAGAAAATAGAGGGGAAGAAATTGCCAATGAGATCAGTTAAGAAAATTTTCCAGATGGGGTGCCGTGGCTCAAGCCTGTAATCCTAGCACTCTGGGAGGCCAAGGTGGGTAGATTGAGGAGTTCAAGACCAGTCTGAGCAAGAAGGAGACCTTGTCTAAAAAAAGAAAAAAAAAATTCCCCAATCGAAGAATGTTAAGTTTCCAGATTCAAATAGCCCTGCACAATCTATGAAAACAGACACACCTCACATCACAGCATCCTGAAATTTCAGGATTGTGAAGGCTGAGAGAAAATTCTATAACCTTCCAGAGAAGACACAGCAGATTTATAACTCACACACAGATTATAAGCACAAACCAAGGAATCAGAAAGGTTCTGAGTTTTAACAGCAATACCACAAAGCTAGAAGGCAATGGGACAATTCTTTCAAAGCTACCATCCTAAAGTTCTACATTTGACAAAAACTATCAGCTATCAGTGGAAAACATGTTTTCAGGCCTTCACAGTCTCAGAAAAATAGACATCCCATGCATCCTTTCCAGAAAGTTCCTTGAAGATCTGATGTACCAAAACAAGGGACTATACCAAAATTGAGAAGGCACGAGCTGCAAGTATCAGGAAATCCAACCCAGGAGGCAGATGATGGGATGCCCAGGATGGTGATAAGGGAGCCCTCAGGGTGACAGCTGTGTCCTGTGCACAGAAAGCTACCTGTCCAGATCACAGCTAACCAGGAGGCACAGGGGCAGCTCCTTGAGGAGAATGAAATTGACAGAATACTTGGTGCATTTGATGGAGGATTTAGAAAACTGGCCAAAAGAGGTGAGTCGAATTAATGACAAGTACAAAATGAACAAACAAATCAATTATTAACACCAAGGAAAACAAAAAGTTCTGCTTGGCTTAGCTGTGAATTTTGACCTAACCATTAATCAATAGTCTGTTTTAACTATTGCAATGATGGGAAATTAGGGAAGCTCTACTCGTGTTGGGCGTTGGAAGGAAAAAGAGAGCCAACAACGGGAAGTTAACAGATAATGCCTAAAATGGAAAAACTCAAGAAACATTAACTACAAATAAAACATGACAAAGAATGGTAAATGGCCGTTTCTGGAAAGGGAGAAATGTAACTTGAATAAAAGTTTAAACTGAAAAACAAAACACAACAAACAAAAAACTACACTGGCTTCTATGCCCATGCATTTTTTGATTTGTTTGCTTTTTCTTGGTTTCTCCAAAAACAATTATTTTGAAAAATTTCATCTTTGTTTCCTCTAAACAAAAGAAAGTGTAATTTTCTACATCCAGACCATGGTGTCTGTGCTCATCTGAGCTCTGAGCAGTTCCACGTGGTGGAGAAATCAATGGTTATATTCCAATCCAGGGAAAGAATAGTTATAATCTAATCCTTGAGCCAGGACAGAGATAAAAAAACAAGTACAGGTGTAAGTATGTTTGGAAGTGCAGACAACTACTAAGCCCCTCTCCTTTGGATTGTTGTTGTTGTTTTATTTTTATTTTTATTTTTATTTATTTATTTATTTTTTGAGACAGAGCCTCAAGCTGTCCCCCTGGGTAGAGTGTCGTGGCATCACAGCTCACAGCAACCTCCAACTCCTGGGCTCAAGTGAGTCTCCTGCCTCAGCCTCCCAAGTAGCTGGGACCACAGGCGCCCGCCACAATGCCCGGTTATTTTTTGGTTGCAGCCATCATTGTTGTTTGGCAGGCCCGGGCTGGATTTGAACCTGCCACCTTAGGTATATGTGGCTGGCGCCTTAGCCACCTGAGACACAGGCGCCAAGCCTGGATTGTTTTTTACTTTTTTTTTTTAATTGAATGCACTTCTGGGGTACAGTGTGGTGTTTTCACACACAATCTGAAACACTTCCAACAAACTGGTTAACATAGCTTCATGTCATTTTCTTAGTTATTGTGTTAAAACGTTCATATTCTCCTCTTAGAAAGATTCACTTGTACCCTTGTAAGATAAACCACAGAAGTGACCCCTCCAATCCCCCTCCCTCCACCCATTCTCCCCTCCCTGTTTTTTACTTTTCAACAAAGCTGTCCTATTGGTATAATCACCTGGTACAGGTTCCTCTTACAACTACCAGTGACCAGGGGCCAATTGTATTCCTTTGTAACAGGCCTAAATTTCCAAGTCATACCCCTAATCTACCAAAGCAGTTGGCCTCCAAGGCTGGCGATCTGGGTTTGACTTCAGTCAGTCCACACTGCCTGAAGAAGAGAGCACAGCAAAGGCTCTGAAACAAGTGACCCTGTGGTCAACAGACATTTACTGAGCATCCACAGGGGACCCAGCCAGGCTGCAGATCAACATTCCTGCTGACTCTGTGGAGCACATCTCCCTACACTGAACAGGGAGATGATTCTCCCTGAGTGGGTAGAGGGATCTGGGACGTGGTGAGGTGGAAACCATAGAGCTGGAAAAGCTGGAGCAGGGGAGAGGTACCCATGTGGTGAACCTGGAGAAACCCGTAGGCAGAGGTGTGGCTGGAGGCCCCAGCCCCAGGCTCCCCACACTCTGGATGCCCAAAGGAAAGCAGTCTGGCCAGTAATTCTTCCCCAAGCCTAAAAAAGTAGGCTAGACTCTGCCTACAACGCCAGTCAAGGGTGAACTCTGGGGAACAAAAGTTACCATTCTCTGAACTTTACCATGCTTTGATAAAACACAGTCTCTGCTCTTGAACAACTAGCTACAAGAAAACACGACTGTCCTGATACAGAAAAAAGTCAGTTGATGGCTCGGCACCTGTGGCTCAAGTGGCTAAGGCGCCAGCCATATACACCTAAGATGGCAGGTTCGAATCCAGCTGGGCCCACCGAACAACATTGAGAGCTGCAACCAAACAATAGCCAGGCGTTGTGGCAGGCACCTGTGGTCCCAGCTACTTGGGAGGCAGAGGCAGGAGACTCACTTGAGCCCAGGAGTTGGAGGTTGCTGTGAGCT